TCCATCCATCCATCCATCCATCCATCCATCCATCCATCCATCCATCCACAAATATCTATGGCAATCCTATCAGGCCCGTTCTAGGCACTAAGGCTACAATTAGCAAGCTCGTGACTGGAGACCGACTCTCAGCATTTCCAGGTGACTTTGGTGTGTGCATATAAACGTGTGTGTACATGTGCATGCAAACCCTTCTGTCGGCAAGGGCCTGCTGCTGGGGCACCTGTCTTCCCTGGGGCCTGGTGCTTTTAGCATCTGTCCCTGGATCCTGTTGCAGCCCGAAATAAGGCTGTGAGCCACGACAGGGCAGGAACAAGTCTCGTCAGCTGAGGCCAGAGCTGACTGCCGGGCACCCTGAGCTCGCTGAACGCCCGACCGCTGTACAGACACCGACCACCCAACTTTCAGCTTCCTGACAGAAGTGTTAATCTTGAGGGTCTGACATTCTCTCTGCCCACTGTGGTCCCAGCTCTCAGGTACCAGGATCCTAGGGGAATTTGAGAAGCTGTGGGGAGTGGGTGGAGGAGATGAGCCAATTCCCGGGGCCCCTTCCTGTCCAAGCAGAGGAAGGGCCCGCAGAGAGTCTGGGGAGTGTGGGGCCTCGTGGAAGCCTGAATCCTGAGTTGGGAAGGGAGGGATTCTAGCCCTAGGTCACTCTAGGTTAAATGGGGAGGGGATGGCAAGGATTCATGGTGGGGGACTCCAAGATCTTTAGGTAGCAGAGGAAAGCAGGGTCCCTGCCTGGAAAATAAAGAGCCTTCCAAATGTCTCTGAATTTCTGTAAAGGGGGTACTTATTGAGGAACAGATCCACAGCCTGTGGCGTCCTCAGTGGTCACAGTTGGAGCACTCTCAGTCATCTTCTGACCCTCACCCTAAGTGCATGCAGACATGCTCATGTTTGCATCTAGTTTTAGGGGTCTCATGGATGCTCTGAAGTCCATCCATGGATCCCCATGATCTAGCCCAATGCCCCTATGTTACAGAGGGGGGAACTGAGTCACAGAGCTGGAGAGCAACTTGCTCACAGTCACAGAGGAGTCAGGGACACCGATTAGATGCCAGGTCACCCAGCTCAGTACCCCCTGACCTAGGCTGGGAGTGGGTGTGCGGGGTACAGATGGAAGCAGATTGTTTTTCTAAAGGGAGGAATATAGAAAAACCTGGAAGCAAAGCAGAGGGGCACAGGGGTGTGTAGTCCGTCAGGGATTCAAGGGCTCTGCCTTCTCTTTTGAGGGCAAGTTAGGGGATCTGGATTTGGGGCCTGGAGGGGGCTTGGAGGGAGGTCTCTGGACCTCATTTTATTTGTAAATTTCCTGGAAAGTGCCATGAGATACAAAGGGGGGATGGAAGAAGAGGAGAGGGGTAAGAGAGAAGAGGGCGTCGTGAGGTACTAGACTTATCGGAGTGGTCACTTTGTAAGTTATGTAAACGTCCAATGACTATGCTGTACGCCCGAAACTAATATAACACTGTATATCAACTGTAACTTAAAAATTAGAAGTATTATTAAAATAAAAGAGAGCAGCATAAAAGTCAGCTCCGGGTGGTGCAGAGGAAGGGGGCGATGGTTTTCTCAGCTTCCTTGGACCAGCCTGTGCCCTCAAGTCTTAGGGCCAAGTACTGGGGACAGGAGGGGAGGGCTGGCCTTGCAGACCCCAGTGTCACCCCAGCCTATCCACCTATATCTCTTCTCCCCCTGATGTAAACCTCCAACCTCTTTCAGCCGCTGATCAGAACTCACCTGAATCAGTGGATGAAAGTAGTTTGGTAGCCCCACCTTCCCCACCCCTAATGTCCCAGAGTTTACGCCGTGAAGAGAGTGCTTCTCTAGCGGCGTGGAGGCATTGAGCATCCTCTTAACCCTCCCTGGACCTCAGCCTCCTCCTCTGCACATAGGGACCCCAAAGACCCTTTCAGCTCAGGCAGCCCTTGCCTGACACTTTGGGGTGGGCTGGAGCTGGGTGGCCCAGGGGCTTGGAGGAGGTCTGAGAGGGCAATGGAGGCAGCCTGGCCCATTTGGGGATCATTTCATCTACAGGATGATCCCCAAGGAGCAGAAGGAGCCAGTGATGGCTGCCATGGGGGACCAAGCTGGACCAGGTAAGGTGGACCCAGCCTGTGCGCATTCCTCAGACCCCATCCTTTCTTGGTCCCAGATTGTAGCCGCTCAGGCCTGCTGGCCCCAGGCCTATAAAAACAGGTGTGAGTTCCAGGCCAGCCCTGAGGGACTGCCTGTGGAATCTGCCACTTGGGCTGGGAAGCTTCCTGAAGCATTGGGAAGGGCCTTGCCCTGCTGTCCTCACACCCAGGAGCTGAGGTTGTGTGCCCTAGACCGGGCCTGGCCCCAGCTAAGTCTTTCGCTCAGCCCCAAATTGAGCTCTGCGGGCTCTGATCCCAGATCCAGCCTTAACCGTCGCCCCAAGCTCCCCACACACTTGTCCTTGCTTGTTCCAATTGTGTGTCTCACCGAGCCCCTGTGGCAAGAGACAGGGGGTCCGGGGAGAGTGGGGCAGGGCGGCAAGAGCAGGCTACCCAGCCGAACTCAAACCATTTCACCTAAAAGCCGACTCAGCCAATGAATAAATGATCTAAAATAGATGTTTATCAACTTTATGAGACCTTCCAGAACTCTTGGCATAATTTTGGAGTCTGTTTATTTGGCCTATTTTAGAGCATTTCAAGCATTTTAAAAACAAATTCAACTAAGCCAGGCCTCTCAAGCTTTCGTGTGAATCATAGTGACATGGTGCTGGTTAAAATGCAGATTCCCAGTGTCTGCCCCAGGGAGTCTGACTCAGTGGATCTGGGGAGGGGGTTGGTCATTCGCCTTTTAGAGAAGCACCCAGGAGATTCTAGTGCAGGCGGCCAGTGAACCAAGCTCTGCTGAATCCCTCTAAGACCACTGCTAGGCTTTGCCTCCTAAGAAGTACTTGCTTATGTTGCACGACTTCATATGTGAGTCATCCTTTTAACCTATTTTGTGTGTTCTTGGCTGCTTTTGTTGGAGGCGAGTTTCTTTTTATTATTCCATGAGCTCATGTGCTGAAATACACAGATATTGCGAAGTGTTGATGCTCTAATCAGGAGCATCAGGCCATGCATTCTCTCTTATTTTATCTAAGTAATTAGTTAGACCCCCAAATATTGACACACATCATCTATGCCAGACTGGAAATATGTAAATTGTTGACTATTGCAAGGGTGTTAATTAAAGACAATTTTGAAACCAAAGAGTTGTAGAAAGAAAACTCATGGTTTCACTACCAAAAGACACGCATTGTAGAGTAAGAATAATAAAAAACACCATTATTTTGTGCTTACCACGTCAGATACTGTGCTAAGAGCTTTGATGCTTTGTGTCATGTAACCTCCACAACAACTCTGAAAATTAGACATTGTTATCACCGTTTTGCAGATGAAAAAACTGGGGCTCAGCAGAGCTAGGTGTTCGCACATCCTAGTAGGTGGTAGAGCTGAGATTTCACTCCAGATCTTTGTCTCCAGATCTGCTTCTTTACTATATGGTTATACAAATAATACATCATTTAATAAAATAATTCAGACAAAACAGACATGAAGGACTTTGAAAGTGAAAGTTCCTCCTAATAGAACCATCTGGAGATAACCACTGTTAACGTATTTGTGTCAATCCTTCTTCTGTTCATATATAAACATACTTATATAAGTGCAAATACACACACGTGGGCTGAAGACTATACACTGTGTTCTTCAGCTTAAATTTCTTTTCATTTAGTAAAATACCACAGACTTCTTTCCATCCTCATATGATTTAGCTCACCACCTCCCCCCTTGTTTCCCCAGCATGTCATATGTTATATATATTTATATTCATACGCACACCCTAGTGGTGCTCGTGAAGGCTCATCTCGGGTTGGGACCCTTAGGAGCAGAGCCTGAGGCTCCTTGAGCAAGTGACTCACGGAGGTCGCGCGCTCAGGAGGAGGGAAGTGAGGCAGGACAGGGCAGGGGACATTGCTGAGCCAGGATGCGGGCTCAGCTGCCGCCTGGGTTCAGTGTGACCCCCGAGGTGGGGGTGGACTGGGCTCCACAGAACTCATCCCACCTTCAGCAAGGGGACCATGACCCCTTCTGTTCACCTGGGCAGTTCTCTGCAGAGGTGGCCGCTGGGGACTGTCAGCCACTGATAAGGGCGCCTGGGCAGCACTCGCCACAGACTGATCCCAGGTGTCAGTTTGAAGCCTCACTGTGATAAACATCCTTGTGCGTGTATCTGCTGGGCATGTTCATTCAACTTTTCTCCCCGAGAATGAATGCCAGAGCTGCTTAGTCAGATAGGTTTTGTCTATAGTTTTTTTTTGTTTCCTTTTTTTAAAATATTAAGCTCAGTTCATCTGGGTTGTATTTGAGAATATGGTGCCGGGAGAATTTTTGTTATGTATTTATGTATAAATAGTCTTTTCTTCTTAAGTGTGCAGTACATTTTCTGGTTTTAAAAAAATAATAGTGCGATTTCCAGCCCTCCTCCTTCCCACGTCCCTAAGTCATCACTGCTAATACCAGGCACGCTCCTTGCAGGTTTTCATTGAGCGCATGAACATATAATTCTTTTTTTAAATATATGAATGGGACCTTAGAATATGGAGTTTTTCTGAAACTTATTCTTCCCTCTTTTAACCTACAGTGGATTTCTTTCTGCCTTAAAAAATATGAGAAAGGTGCTCTCTCTTATTTGCTGAAAGAACGAAAAATAAAATCAGCCCCCTTTTAAAAGCCTGTGTAGGAGCCCATTGAAAGGAACGAGTCACAGCCCCTGGCCGGCCTCAGTGCCGCCTGGGGACCACCTCCACCTGCCTGGCCCGGTCACCCGCCCATACTACTCTCAGAAACCTTGGCAACCTCTCTCCTCAGACCTCCAGCGCCTCCTCCCCCATCTTCATTCTCGGCGAGTGACCTTGCTGCTCATGTCACTGAGAGGAGGGAAGTCACCAAAAGGGAACATCTGCGAGCTGTCCCCACCCCACGTGTCCACTCGCTTGCCCCGTGTCCACGCTCTCAGTTTCCCCTCCTGATGTGGTGGATGAGCTCCCCTTGCCCGTGGGGAGCCAGCCCTTCCAGTGGGGCACTGGATGCCCGCCCTCCCTCTCCCCTGCTCAAGGACACTCCTCAGTAATTCTCCTCTCTCTCTACTTCACTGTGGAATTTTCCCAACAGCTAACAAACACGCTGTTATTTCTCCCTCTTTAAAAACAAACAAACAAACAAACAAACAACCCCTCTTGATTCCACAGCTGCCTTCAGCCACGGGCCTCTAGAGCACAGCTCCTCAAAGCAGTTGTCTCTACTCTTCCCCTCCTCTCCTTCTCTCTTTCACATTTTATCAAGCCAATTTCCAAACACACATAAAAGCAGAGTGCAAATCCCCATGGCCCTCCTTTCATTCCCGGAATCCAAAGCAAATCCCAAAGAGCGTGTCATTTCATGCTCCAAATACTTCTGAACCCATCAAAAAATCCTAAAAAGGACATCTCCTTACGTGCAACAAAGATATTAGCACACAACACAAAACTAGCAATATTGATTGAATGCCATCTAATAACCAGTCCCACATTCAACCCTCTTCAATCTTCTCCTTTGCTATAATAAAAACAAGGGCCATTGTTTTTATTTGGTTGCTATGTCTCTTAAACGTCCTTTAATCTAAAACAACCCCCACTTACTTTTCCCATGTCATTCACTCCTTTGAAGAAGCCAGGCCGGTTGCCCTGTAGAGTGTTCCACATCCTAGACTTGGCTCGTTGCTTCCTCGTGGTGTGCTCAAACGGTTCCTCTGTCCATTTTCTCTTGAACCCTCTCCAACACGGCTTTTACACCCAGATACTCCCCAGCAACTGCTCTGTGAAGATCACCAACGGTAACCGCATGGTACTAAATAGCAGGCTCCATGTGCCCTCATCTTGCTGGACACATGGGCAGTGTTTGGCTCTGTTGACCACCCGTCTTCCCCGAAATGCTTTTCATCATTTGGTTTCCAGGACACCACCCACGAGACTCCCCCCAGGCCCACCGGGTGCTCCTTCCTGGGCTCCAGGGCTGGGTCCTCACTTCTTCAGTCTAAATGCTCGAGGCCCCAGGCCAGACACCAGCTGTAGTCCTAACTAGAGGAAAGAAGTAAATGTGATGCCCTTCACTGAAAACAGCACAAGTACCACTGATAAGCTCGTGGCGCCCCAATCCTTGTCTCAGCTCGGTTACCTCCCGTGAACACGAGACTCTCCACGTGGCTGTATACAAGGCTCTTCAAACCTAACATGTCCAGATTTGAAGAAAAGTAGGGGGCTTTAAATATGGAGTAAGCACCATACAAAACAGAAATTTGTTCACTTGGAAAGGTGGAGATCTTAACTTGGCTAACGAAGTTACAAAGCACTCAGGCTATGGTTTCATTTGGGGTGAAAACTATTGTATGAATATACAGTCGCTGAGAAAGATAGCAAAGGATACACACTAAGAGGTCAATAGTGGTGACCTCCGAGTGGCAGAAAGTGGTATTTTTCTTCCTCTCTTATATCTGTATTTTCTAACTTTTTTCAATGCACATATATAATGTTCTATAATCATAAAAGGCTATTTTAAAATTAAAAGAACACATGGAAGACTGAACTCCTGACTCTCCCCACAACTTCCCCTTCCCCAGACCTCTCCCATCTCAGGGAGCGGCCAGGCCATCCTGCCAGCGGCTCAGGTCAGAAAGCCTGCTGCATGGTCCCCTCCTCTCTCTCACATCCCTTACCCATGGCTCACCTTTAAAGATGTCTAGAACCTGGCCATTCCTCACTACCTCCACCACTGCGGTGAAGAGCTGCACAGGAAATCCACGGAATAAATAAATGCAAATGGCCAAAGGACGTCTGAAACGATGCTCGATTTCACTGAGTGCCAGACACATGCCAATTAAACTCTGAGGCATCATTTCTGCCCATCAGGGGGGCAGAGTCCACTGAATGACGACAGTGTTGGCAAGTATGGGGACCGTACTGTGAGGAGGCACCCTTAGAGATGGCTCCCAGTGACCTGGCCTCTCCCCGCAGTCCCTTTGCTGGACCTGGGCAAGAAGCTGAGCGTGCCCCAGGACTTAATGATGGAGGAGCTATCGCTACGCAACAACCGAGGATCCCTCCTCTTCCAGAAGAGGCAGCGCCGGGTGCAGAAATTCACCTTTGAGCTGGCGGCCAGCCAGCGGGCGGTAAGACCCCACTGTGCGCGCAGGGAAACCGAGGCCCGAGGAGGCCAGTGGTTTGCCTAAAGCCCAAGGGCGAGCCAGGCGAGGACCTCTGGCCCCTGGGCCGCCCCTCGGGCCCCAGCAAGGGAAGGCTGCGCATTTCCCATCAGACTGAGCCCCTGCCTTGCTGTGCGAGCCTAGAAAGTGTTACCTGCTCAGGCACCTCTCTCCCGAGACAACACATAGCGGGGGTGGGCAGGAGGAGCTGCGGGGCGAAGGGGCTCTGGCTCCTCCAATAGCGCTGGACAACAGTCCTGTCGCGGGGCGGAATTCGCAGCCAGACCGAGACCTGGCCCGGGAGGGAAACACATGCTGCCGTTTTCCCGCCGCCCCACGGGGAGGACGGGCCCTGGAGCAGTCGCCGGGCTGCCCGAGGGTGTTTACCCTCAGGCTTCAGAAAGGCAGCGGGCAGTTTTGGGGGCGCTAATGAGCCAGGGGCGTCTCGTCCACACTCCGCCCAGCTCGGGATGAGCCGGGAGGAGGCTGAGGGGTTACGTAGCAAAATAATAAAGATGACAGAACACTGCCTTTGCTGTGTGTCCGAGACAGGCTAGCTAAGCACTTGACGCGCTATGAGCTCATTTACTGCTCAGAAAGTGATGCGACCACCATCTCCATTTTACAGAGAAGGAAGCTGAGGTTCAGGGGGTGTCTGCCCAGGGTTAGTATTATAACAGCAGCTAACATACACAGAGCATCTCCCTGGCCCCGGCGCTGGGCTTCGGGCCCTGCACTATTCACTCATGCCCCCCACATCCCTGGGAGGTGGGTGCTAGGGTTATGTGCCCCCTCTTTTTTGTGGAGGGTGATCCATGGCCCCTTGCTGGGCTGAGCCTCCCTGCCGTGAGGAGGGAGGCTCAGCCCCCTCCACTCCCCACCGCCCCAGATGGTGCCTGGAAGCGACCAAGGGAAGGGGACTGGAACAGCGGAGCCAGGGACGGTGAGGTGGAAGGAGACCCCACAGAAAGGGAAGCTGGGGCATGGGGTCTGGTGACATCAAGGCGGCTATCAGTTGCCTCTGAGCGCCCACCCTTGTGCCCAGGTTGCCGACAGCCCAGAGTTGCAGACCTGCCGCTCGGAGCTCCACATCTTCCCGACCTCCCCTGGGGACCCCGAGGACACCCAGGCTGAGGCTTCCAGGGCAGAGAGGGCCCCCAGCCCCAGCGCCCTGGCACCAGGTGAGTGGCCTCCGGAGCTAGCGTGAGCTCACGCAGGGCAGGAAGAGAGCCCAGAGAGCACCTAGATCGCCCCCTTCCCTTCCCAAACACACACACCCCTCCATGGACCTACCACAAGCCCAAAGAGGAGTAGCAACGCGCCCTAGGTCACCAGCGAGAACCTGCACCCCAACTCGCCGCTCCTCTGCTCCAGGCCTCTTTGTTTCCAGGGATGGGAAAGGGTACCCTTGGCTGGAGCAACTTTTGGGGTCACATTCCCCTTCCCCAACTTCAGTCTTCCCTCTTCTAATCACTTCCTCGGGGTGGGTGTGGGAGTGGGGGGCCCAGGGAGAAAAGACCCACACGCCCTTCCCCACCCCCAGGCTATGCTGAGCCACTCAAGAGCATCCCACCAGAGAAGTTCAACCACACGGTCATCCCCAAGGGCTACCATTGCCCGTGGCAGGAGTTCATCAGCTACCGAGACTACCAGAGCGATGGCCGAAGGCACACCCCCAGCCCTGCCCAATATCGAAATTTCAACAAGTAAGCAGGGCGGGCAGCTTGGGGAGAGCGGGAGGGTGCGCAGGTGCCAGTCACAACCACAGCAGTAGCTGGATTTCCTGAGCACCTTCTGCATGCCAGGCTGTATCTAAACACGTCATAAGCATTTATTGAGCTCTTGCTAGAACTTCACAGAACTCTTGCCTCAGCACATAGTAGGTGCTCAATAAATGTATGAGGAATGTGCCACACATCTGGTTGGATCCTCCCCACAACAAGGTGGGGCGAGTGCTACAGTTTTTCCTGTTCTGCCTGTGAAAGGACCTGCTCAGGAATATCAACAACCTGCCAAAGTCCCAAAGTAAGGAAGCGAGGCAGGGTTGGGGTCCAAGTCTGGACCCTCTGATTTGAGAGCCTGGTTTCTTGCTCGAGAGCCCATCGCTGCCGTGTGCCACCTCTCTGATGCTCACTAAGGAGCCCAGATTTCACCAGTCCTAGATAGCTCGGCCTTTTTCTCATTTTCATCAGTGATCTGGGAGATGCCTAAAAAGTGGCTTCGAGGCTGTACCAAAGCGGGGAGTAGCAGTGAAACGTTGGACACTAGAGGTGAGGGCCACACAGGAGTGGTATGTACTGTTTAGAGCATGAGGCCTCAACATGGGCTTAAATACAGACTCTTCACCTGGCTGTGTGACCTTGGGAAAGTGACTTAACCTCTCTGAGCCTCCATTTCCCCATCTGTAAAATGAGACTGTTACAGTGCCTACTTTATAAAATTGTTGTGAGAATGGCATAAGAAGCCACAAGCCAAGTTTCTAGCAAGTAATAGCTCTCAATAAACAATAGCTGCTATTATAATCATAATTATTTGCAGGTTGAAATGATAGTTGGAAAAGCTAATGGGAAATAAAGGGATATATTTAACATTCTTCCCTCAGGGCCCAGGAACAAATCATAGGAGTCAAGACAGGAGCTTGGCACTGGAAGGAGGCCTTGGGGTGGGGGACGGATTTCAATTGCAATTGGCTTCCTTAGTCTGATGCTATTTCTGAAAAATGCTCCCCTGGCTTGGACCACAGTAAGTGTGAAAGTGGAGGGTCCGGGGAGAGGAGGCCACAGGCCAGCTCTTCTGGCACCTGCTCAGACCACACGTGGAGACTGTGTCTGTCTGACAAAGACTGATGGGTGGCGCCAGGGCCTGGCTGGGGCTGAAGACCAAGCCCTCTGAGGAAGGGCTGAAGGAACTGGGGTGATGGGCTTGGAGAAGAGACTGCTGAGGCGGCATGTGACTGCCCTCTAAGTCAGGGAGGGCCTTGATGGAAAGAATTATACCCAACAGGCGCCGTGTGAGCCACGAGCCATTGGCAGATGCTCTGGGGCTTCTCTCGAGCCAGGACTGTGCTCTCTCACCTCCTGGGGCCCTCAGACCCTGCCTTCCCAGCTATTTAAAACCCTCAGCAGACATTCAGTCCTGACAGCCAGCTTCCAGGCTGGCCAGCTCAGGTGGCAGCCCCATCCATCTGACACCTCAGGTATGACAGACTGAGGCAGTCTCACCAGCAGAAAGAAGCTCCTAGGGAGCACTAAACCCAGATCCTCTGGGGCAGAAGGGCCAACTGAGGCAGACTGAGGAGGAACAGCAGTGTTGGTTGCCAAGCTGTGCTCAGGGGCCAGGTCTCTGGGCTCCCGGTCAAGGGCCCAACTGTGAGGCTTGCATCGGCTTGGAGACTTCCCAGCCTGTCCCCATGGGGTCTGGCTGTTGCTGCCACAGCTGGGGTGGTCCAGGCAGAAACCCTGTCGTGGCTGGAACCTAGGCCCTGGCCCAAGGTTTGCCTTTCTACCCTAGGGGCAAGCACTCTCCTCTTTCCATTGGCCTGAGGCTATGGGGAAAACACCACACAAACAATGCCTTTTGTTTTTCTTAAAATTAAAGAATAGTTTTAAAGTCACGTACTTACATTCTCTTTTAAAAAACACAAAACTATGCAACTATAAATAAAAGGAGGGTTCTTTTGTTCACCATTCTCAATATCAGTTTCCTTCTCAAAGGTAACACCACTGTCAGGTTGGTGTGTAGGTTTCCAGAACATTTTCTAAGGACAGCTACATACCTATAGGGATATAGCATTGTTTGTGTATTTTAATACTTTGCATTTCTTTTTGTAACTTGCTTGCCTTTTTCACTCAACATCATGCTTTTAAAATCTACCCTACTTAATACACAGAGATCTTTTCATTCCTTTTGAGTGCTGTATAATATTCCATCACGTGACTACACTACGTTTGTCGTGTCTGCTCCTCTGCCAATGGACAGTGGGCTGTTTCCGGCTCGTCACCCACCCCTGCTCACATCTGCTTCCTTATGCTTATGTGCACGTGCTTCCAAAGCCATGTGCTTATAGGTGGAGTTGCCGGTTAACAGAATTGGCACATTTTCAGGTTAAAAAGATCCTGCTAAATTGTCTTCCAAGGGACCAGCACCAGTGTGGCCCCCAAACAGCAGCATATGAGTGAAACCCTGCCCCATTATCAAGTCATTTCTTCCTGCTGGTCTTATGGGTTAGAAACACAGGTCTGCTGTAATCTGCACTCCCCTGGTTCTCAGTGCTCTTTCTCATTCCCCCCTTTTCACTCCAGTTTGTGGCACAGTCCTCTAAGGAGAGATGAAAAGACAAAGGAAAAGCCTATCCCAGCTCTACTGCCTTCTGGAGCTTGCTTTCGGGGAACTTAGAGTCTTGCTTAGGACAAGCCAGTTCTAACTCTGAAAACTTGGCTCCTATATCTAAGCAATAAGCCATCCCAACTAGCGGCAGAGCTAAAGAAACCTGTTAAAGAGAGTGCAAAACCTTGCTGTATAGAAGGGGAAACTGAGGCCTGGAGGGAGGCAGGGAGGAGCCCCACACGGTGACCCGCATGTCAGTGTGCTGCCATCCCTTTCTTCTCCCAGCCCACCTCTCCTGCTGCTCTTCTTCCCCCAGGACCCCTGTGCCCTTTGGAGGAGCCCTGGTGGGGGACAGCACGCCCAGGGCAGGCACCCCCTTCCTCCCGGAGCTCACCAGTGGCTTGGAACTCCTCCGCCTCAGACCCAACTTCAACAGAGTGGCGCAGGGCTGGGTCCGCAACCTCCCAGAGTCCGAGGAGCTGTAGCCCCAGCCTGAACCTTCAGTCGCCCGGTCTCAGAGTTTGGACAACACCAGGAGCCAAGATTTGTGTACTGCACTTCACAGTTTATGAAGGGCCTTCAAACACAAAACCTAGTGCAAATAGCCTCAGAGGTTACAAAGTTCAGTAGTCCCCAGACATGGGGTTTAGAAAGTTTTTCCTTTTACTGAGATATAGCTGGTCTTTATCTATTCATGCTCTAACATTTACTAAGCACCTACTATGTACTAGGCACTGTGGCAGCCCCAGGCCTTGACCTAGAGTAGGAAAAGGTAGTAGGGAAGACAGATTTGTAAAGCAGTAAATTACCTTAATTTTCCTTAAAGTACCTGAATAAAAAAACGTAGTGAGGCAGAGGGGGGGGGAGGGGTCTTGAACCCTGAGTGTGGGGTGAGATTCCAGGAAACCTCCCAGAGGATTTGAGCAGGACCTCAGAGGGGAACTAAGAGCCCATCAAGGGAAGAGGGTGTGATGGGGGGGTGCTCCTGGCCAGTGGAGCAGCACGTGCTGGAAAGGTGCAGGATGCCGTAGGTGCAGGGTACTCCAGGGCAGAGGGAGGGCTACGGGAGAGGAGTCAGGTTGGGGTGGGCTGCACTAAGGCAGTGGGGGAGGTTCTTAAGCTGGGGAGTGGGGGGTCTCGATGGCTGCTGTGTGGCACAGATTGGAGGGGAGTAAGGCAGGAAGCCGGGAAGCCTTCAAGGAACAAGGCCTGGACTAGTGAGGTGGCCATGGGGATGACAAGGAGAGGCACCTCTCTGGGCACCTTGCAGGACAGGTGCCACGTGGGGCACTTATAAAGCCTCCTTCTGCTCACCACTCTGAGCAGGCCCTGGGTAGATCTTGTCCTAGTTTCCACCAGGGGTTGTTCAGGGCTCTACTCTGGCTCATCAGGAAAGAGAGAGAAAGGAATGAAGTTCTAGTGATGATGATGATGATGATGATGATGATGATGATGGCTGCTTTTCATTGGGTGCCTCAGCGCTTCACCTGGTAGTAGGTTCTCTACATACCTAATTTCTAATTTTCAGTACAACCATAAAAAAAAAGTCTTGTCCCATTTTACAGATGTGGATATCCAGGCTCAAAGGGAAAAGGGGCTTGTCCAGGGACAGAGCCAAAATGGAAACTGTCTTACCCCAGTGAATGTCTCTCTAGAGGGCACTGGGTGGCCACGCCAATGCCCACTCACTCTGGCATCACCTCAGAGCAGTGGCCGGCCTTCGAGTTCAGAGGCCGCGCGTGGGGCAGGGGAGCCGGGCTGTGCGGGATGGCCTAGTTGCCTCTGCCAGCGTCTCTCACCCGTGGGCCTGTTCTCCCCTGTAAGATGAGCGCAGGATAGAAGCCCTGCCAGCGGCAGTTGTGAGCACAGACACAATGAGCGCTAGATCATCAGTAGGCCTCATGCAACTACAGCTCCTCACTGAAAAGATGCCCTTGCAGTGGATGCGTGAGCAGCAGGCTGCTGGGATGTCACTAGAGGTCAGTAGAGCTGGAGCCAGAAGGGAAGGAGCCTCTGATCGCTGTAGGGCTCCCTCTGCACATGAATCTCCTCTTCCCCCGGCCTCCCTCGCCTCTCCCCTGACCCCTCTCTTGGGGAGATGAGCAGGTGAGGAATCCACCTGGTTCCCAGGGCATGTAGGGTAGTGGTTGCCTTTTCCTTTTGCTCTGGGCTTTCCCTGTGCCCCACACCATCTCCAGGGGCCAGCGGCCTGACTTAGAATTGCTTGCAATCAACGTGTTGTCTTGGATTTGGGCACTGCTGCTTAAAGCCATGTTTCCATGAGCTGAAAACCAACCATTAAAGTGTCTGAAACATAGAAGAGGATTAGCCCCCCTTGGGTTGGCTCTGCTGTGCTCTGGAGGGTAAAGGCGGCCACCGGAGCACAGCAGGCGAGAGCTGGTGGGGAGCCTGCGACGCCCCAAAGCAAACCCTCATTCCTTTCTCCTTCTGATAATATGACTTTCACTGATGTTGTTTTTTAAAAAAGAATTCTTATTGTAAAAATATATGAGTAAACCACCAAATAAAGGGAGAAGTAAAATGTGAAGGTATCCGGCCACATAGCCGCTCCCCTGCGGCGCACACCTTCCTGCCCTCCTGCGCTCTGCCCCACTCCCACGCTCCGGAGGTAGCCACTGGTAACGGCGGGGTCCTTCTAGAATGCGAGGATTATGTGACTAGATAAATACGTACCTGGCATAGCTGCAGGAGTGCAGAGGTATGTCTTGGTTTTGTGGGATCATACTGTATGTATTCTTCTGTATCTTGCCTCTTTACTCAACAATAAGTAAAATGTGGATCCTGAAAACGCAAGTTGTTAACCTTTCATATAATTTAGGGGCCCAACAAACCTTTCACATAGAACTCTATACTTTGGCCTGTTTTGTTCTTTTTGTAAATGATATCGTATAGTGACATGGAAATGAAAAGGACCGCGAACAGCCAGAACATTGGGAACCTGACGTTAGATGTAGCAGCAGCGACCGTGAATGGACTACAGTTCGTGCAGCAATACAGAGGCGTCTCAGAAACAAGGCGCCAAGCAAAGGCGCATGTATGACCCACGTGTGTGTTCACGGATGCAAGGAAGTGTTTAGTAAAGTCGGGGTAGTGGTAACTTTGGGAGGAAAGAAAGGTTTGTGAGAGAAGAGAAACTGCTTCTGGGAGAGCTGGAAGTTCTCCATTTCTATACCTAGGTGATTGTTACACATTCACTTTAAAATACCTAATTTAGCTGTAAATTTGTGTTTTATGCACTTTTTCTATACATATGTTATATTTTACCAAAATAATCCCTTCTTTAAAAAGAAGTTACTAGATTAATAGAAAATTAGATGTACACGAAGAGAGACTCAGTGAACTAAAAATGGCATTAGATATACCTGAAGAATTTGTGAACTAACAGTGCCCACAGTGCATCACAGAGAAGTAAAGAAATGGAAAACATGAGAGAGAAGTTAAAAGACATGGAAAATAAAATTAAAATGCCCAACACTACTAACAGGGGTTCCAGAAGGAGCGTAAAAATGACTGGAGGTTTTCCAGACATGATAAAAGACATAAACTCACACAATCCTCACCCTGTTGTAAGGATAAATTAAGTCCATACTTCAGAAGCACTAAACTGAAATTATAGAACGCGAGTCACAGAGAAATGTCAAAGGCACCCAGACAAGAAAGTTAGATTACCTACAAAGGAACACATAGAATAATAGCAATAGTGAAATATATATGTAGATATGTGTGTGTGTGTGTGTGTGTATATATCTACATATCTATCTATCTATCATCTATCTATCTATCTATCTATCTATCTATCTATCTATCTATCTATCTATCTATCTATCTATCTATCTATCTATCATCTATCTTCAAGAAGTGAGAGCCAAATAAATTACTTTTCAGACAAATAAACATTAAGAGTTGTCCACTCACCCCTGCAAGGACTACAAAAACACGTTTGGGGAAGGCTCCAGAAAGTATAGACTCTAAGAAGCAATGGCGAGCAGAGAAATCAATTCCATAGACAGCAGAAAGGGAGAAAAAGCAGCAAAGGCACATAAAATAAAGTAGTACAAATACATGAGACTATATCGGTTTTCACAATAAATATAGAGGGGTAAGACTCACCAGTTTAAAGACAGAGACTCACAGATGGGATTAAAAGTAACTCTGGCTCCATGCTGTTCACAAGCAGCACTCCTAGAAATATAACACAGAAAAAAATAAAGAAACAGGAAAGGATAAACCAGTCAAATACCATCCCAAAGAAATGTGTTCTACCCTCACGCACTGCTGGTGGGATTATAAACTGGTACAGACACTATGGAAAACAGCATGGAGGTTCCTCAAAAAATTAAAAATAGAACTACCATATGACCCAACAATTCTACTTATCCGAAGAAATCCAAAACATGAATTCAAAAAGATATACGCACCCTTGTGTTCATTGCAGCATTATTTACAAAAGCCAAGATATGGAAGCAACCTGAGTGTCATCAACAGACAAATGAATAAAGAAGAGAATAAAGAAAAAGAATGAAATCTTGCGATTTGTGACAATATGGGTGGACTGGCCCAAAAGGTATTATGCTAAGTGAAATAAGTCAGAGAAAGACAAATTCCATATGATTCACTTACATGTGGAATCTAAAAAAATAAATGAACAAACAAAACAGAAACAAACTCATAGCTACAGAGACAAAGCTAATGGTCACCAGATAGGAGAGGGAATGGCGGATGGGCAAAAAAGATGAAAGGGATTAAGAAGTACAAATTGCCAGTTATAAAAATACTCGTGGGGACATTAAGTACAGCACAGGGAATATAGTCAATAATATTATAATAACTACATATGGTCCCAGGTAGCTACTAGACTTATTGGGGTGATCACTTTATAATGTATATAAATGTCTAGTTACTACATTATACACCTGAAACTAATATATGTTAACTATAATTGAAAAATAAAATTTTTAAAAAGAAATGTGATCTAGCCATGTTACTAGCAAAGACTTTCCGAGAAAAAGCATTACTGTGATAAGGATCCTTACAGGATGACAAACTCATAATCATAGTGGAAGATTTAACAGAGTTTTTCAGTTATTGATCAGTTATCAAACAAATAATGAGTAAGAGTATAGAAAATTTGAACAATAAAATGAAAATGTAGAATCCTGCATCACCAAGTTAGAGAATACTCATTATTTTCAACTACCTCTGAAATACTTGAAAAAATGCACACACAAAATTTAAAACGTTTGTGTGTCAAAGGACACTGTCAAGAGATTGAAAAGGCAACTCACAGAGTAGATTATAATTCAGAGAATAAATATCCATGAACCCATAGTAATATAAATAAACGACTCCAGTAAAGTAGGACGTTCTTTACAAACATCCGAATAGTGCATGTAGCTACTCCCCCTTCAGGAGGTGGAGTGTAATTCCCCTCCTACTGACTTGCGAATAGAACACGGGAAGGGAA